TTACAAAAGCAATTACACCCAAATCTCAAAGTTCTCCGGATATACGAGCGTCAATTTTGACATAAATTTGAGTCATAACATAACTTTTCAGTCTCGGAGCACTTAATATTAAATTAAATGTTTGTTTACGTCAAAGATGGATTCCGTCACGTGTAAAATTAGTTATTTCTAAGTGTGTACATATAAAAAGAGAGAGAAGGATTAGTAATTTCCACTAAATTCCACTACCTTATTTACTTATCCTTGTCAGATACGCGTATTTCGTCTAAAGGGTATCCCACATCAAATTGCATCACGGAAAAAAAACGCTGTAAAAAATTACCCATTGGGTATTTTCTCTTGAAAATTTGGGTAGAAGTAGTTTAGAGTGTATTGTTTACACTGTATTTTTATCGCTGTCAGTTTTTCGAAAGTTGGAAAAACGTTTGGAATTGATTTTGCGCAAGCACCTGGAAGAACCTCAACTCTCTCATCGGGACATCGGAAAACATTTCGGAATCGTGCAGTCAACGGTGAGTCGTGTGATTAAACGTTACTACGAAACTCTGAGCACAGACAAACAGACGTAACTCTTTGAAAAAGTTTTTCTTGAAAACATAGTATCTCAAAACATAGGACCTCAGTAACGACATCTCTCGGGCTTCTCGCGTAAAACAAGCTTGCTCGTTAACTCGCAAACAATATTGCATAAAAGTTCTATAGAATGTATAGAAACGTTAAAGTGATCCGATGTCAGCGCTGCGGCGAGTAGTTCGCGGAACTTATAATATTCAAATCAACCGTTAAATGCGTGAACGAAGATACACAATGAAGTGTTACGTCTGTTTGTCTGTGCTCTAAGCATCGAACGGAAGGAAAAATGCGGTCAGAATGGATGTTCTATTAGTGATCAGGATCACAAGCGTGTCGTGAAAGCGTTTAAGCAGAATCCCAATGCTTCGGTCAGGGATGTGGCCAAAAAGTTGAATCTGTCCAAATCTTTCGTTCAATGAGCCATGGACCGGGAGGGACTGCATACGTACAAAGTGCAGAAGGCTCCAAATCGTGACAAATGACAAAATACGGTGGAAAAATCACGGGCCTGGAAATTGTACACCCAGATGCTGACGAAGTCTCATTGTCTCATCATGGATGATGAGACTTACGTCAAGGCGGACTTCCGGCAGCTTCCGGGGCCGCTGTTCTTCACCGCCCAGCACAAGTTTGATGTTCCGGAGGAAGTAAGAAAGCAGAAACTTTCAAAGTTTGCCAAAAATACATGATTTGGCAAGCCATCTGCTCATGTGGCAAACGGAGTGCGCCGTTCGTGACTACCGGGACTGTACACGGGGAGATCTACCTCAAATAGTGTCTACAGGATCTAGCTTCGTGCCACTATTCAAATGTTGTCCTGGAGTGGTACGCAGCCAACAAGGCTACTTTCGTACCCAGGGACATGAACCACCCAACGCACCGGAACTAAGGCCCATCGAAAAATACTGGGCTATTACGAAGCAGGCACTACGGAAGCATCCCAAAAAGGTCAAATATGAGGAAGACATGAAGAAAAAGTGGGTTTCCGTACAGAAGAAGCTGCAGCCAGATGTTTTACAGAACCTAATGAGTGGAGTTAAGCGTAAGGTGCGGGCGTACGGTTATGGTACTCAAGTTGAATGAAATATAGTTGCCAAAAGCTTACTAATGGGTTAAATTTTACTGTCTGAAAGTTTGAAAAGGATCGGTCAATTAGGTAATTTTCTACAGCGTTTTTTTTTTTCGTGATACAATTTGATGTGGGACACCCTTTACAATGTGCAGACTTCTTCAGTGTCTTGTACTAATATTCGACTAAATCTATTCACTAGTAGTCATAAAGTTGAAATCATTGTTAGGATCCACTTAAGACCCAGTTAATGTTTTAGGTAAAGCAGGTGTATATAAAATAAGCTGTAATCATTGTAACAAAGTATATGTAGGACAAACCAAGAGATCTTTAGCAACCAAAGGCCAAAAAGCAAGAGGAAAAAGGCCTAACATATGATTTCAAATCAAAGGTTGCAGAACACATCTTCACATAGGGCCACCAGCTATCGACGGAAGACGATTTTACGAACCGTTTTCACCATGGAAATTGGATGTTTAGAATGTTGGAGAGCCTCAAAATCAACAAACAACGGAATTCAACTTTACTCAACAGGGATCAAGGAAACGGACTCACATGGCTTTTCTAGTTACTACCTGGGACACATCAACGAGGAGTACCGGCTCCTACAGGAAATTAGATTTAAGTTTACCTAGCTTCTAGTGAAAATGTACGTAGATTAATATATATTCGGTAAAATTACCATGGAACATCCTGGCAAAATAGCAAAAAATGAATTTTTGAATCGACCTTCTTCAATTTGTATGATACTTTGCGTAATTGATTGTTATGGGCAATGATCCACATTTTTGCTAAAATTTGGCCATTTTGAACCTTGTAAACTTTTCAAAATGGCGTTATTGGAATGTTTTTAAAAATTATCGGATCCTTCGGAAGGGAAGTAAGCCGTTGGTCCCCGATTCATGAGTAAATGGGTCGATATGTAGGGTCCAAGTTGTTACCGTTTTGGTTCCTGTACCCTATTGGTTCACTTCGAGCGAGAAAATCAGAGCGAGGAATTGGGTATATGTGTATTCATTGAGAATTCAATCTGTATGTCAGTTTCTTGTATGCAATATTGTCTTGTTTTGAATGTAAGTAAATATGTACTCCCAAACCAACGGTCCAATTAAAAATTGTAACCCAGTCACACCAACAACACATAACACAGAACACATAACGGGTAGGAGTAAGGATGAAGGTGGGCGTTGGAAACAGGAGAAGGATATGGACAAGGGGTGGTGGAAAAGTGGGAGGGAGGTGGAAATGGGCTTAGGTCAAGGGGGAAGCTACTGGGTCAAATTGAAAATAAGTTTCTCTTCTACTTCAGCCATTGCGCAAGATAGTTCATATAAATTAAGAGACTAATAATGAAGAGTTACCAATAATGACCGGCAAATATCACCGAATACGGAGTCAGGTAGGACTTAATTAATAACCCGATAGCGGAATTCCCAGCCCTAAGACCACCTCTCATATTCCCCTCAGGACCCATTAATTAAGGGCTAAACAACGAGGGCGTCCGTTAACCCGCCAACACCCGTGTAGCAAGCGTCCATCGGTGTAAAACACCGACGACCACTGAGAGACCACCGTCGATCACCCGATCGAGCCCCAGTGCAACATCCGTCAAGCCAAATGGTGACAACCGTCGAGCACCGGCATCCACTTTGAACAGTCCGTTCATCAGCCGCCGAAAAACCCCACCCGCTGCAGAATCCCGTCATCGCTGGTCAGCAATCTACACACCCACACTAGAGACATAACAAGTGATAAAAAAGGTGTTTTGTGCTTCTGATCAGTGTCGACAAGCCAGGAGCCGACCTTGAAGCTCTAGGGTTTCAACACAGAACAGAAGGGGAAGCGCAAACAATCGATGAATCAAAAAGTGGTTCGTTTTTCTGCTCAACAAGCAATGTGTTGTGGTAGCGTTCCACACGGGCTTTCTATGTGCACTCACACTATCATACCATGCTGCCTATCTTAACAGCAGGCAGAAGATGCCTTCTACCGCTACTGTGTTACCTGACTTATAACGAATATACGTTGTATACGAGTACCCCGAATACAACGTATAGTTCGTCTAATTTTACATTGCAAATGCTATGCAAAATTAGACGAGTCATACGTTGTATTCGGGGTACTCGTATACAACGTATATTCGTTATAAGTCAGGTAACACACTAGGTGCGCTAGTGTTCGCAAATGACAAGTGGAGCCACTTTCTGATCCGAAGTTCCACTCCTGTGGTTTCAAGCTCGAGCTAGCCAACAAAAGAGGCGAGTGTAGCCCACCCCAGACGATATCCGTGGCTAGACCAGAGGTTAGGGGAATCCCTTTACACTAGCCCATCTGGCTACCCATTAACAAGGTGTGGGAGCAACTTCCGTGGCGTCAGTAGCATTAGTGGTCAGCACGGAAAACAAGATCGACTAAAAACAAACCAAAGGAAAAAAAAATAAACAATTTTTTTTTTTTTAGTAAAAATTTAAAAAAAATTATTTAAATCCAATATATCAAAATGCCTAGACGCCATTTTGAAAATTTTACAAGATCAAAAATGGCCGAATGTTAGCAAACATGTGAATCATTTCACTTAATAAACAATTATTATGCAATGTTTCATGCAAATCAGAGAAGGTCGAGTTTTTCCGATTCGACATTTGGCATGGAACTGCTCATTAGGGACATTAACCGTACTTAGCCGAAGAAGCATCTGACGTTAACAAACTAACGGAATCTAATTATTTTCACCCTGCGGGTCTATTTACCATCGTTTACTAATTTGAGCTAAAGCATTTTCAACGTAAGAACGACAGCTGCAACAAGAAACTTAAATTGGATCCTAGCTAAACGTTTGCAAAATTGATAGATTTATCGACAGCCTATCTACCGTACTGAACTAATCCAAGAACAATAACACCCCAAAAGCTAGAACCCATTCTCGTAGCTCACGTGTAAACGATTACGTCGTAATGAGAGATTACAGCCCAATCGCACTTCACCACCTACAAAGTTTAATTGCCAAAAAGCTGCACCATTCTGCCCGACACTCTGCGAGACCGGAACGGAAGGCACTAATTAATGTGCTTACGGAGTGGAAACAAATGACTATTACGACGACGACGACGACGACTGATGGCAAAGAGCAGAAGCGGAACAATATTCTGGATTATGACACTAGTAACTACAGTGCGTACTCTCAGTCTATCTAGCTGCGTTTGTCCTTTCCGTCTCTGTGACTTGCCATTACAGTATAGTGGCTCTTATTTCGGTTCACCCCGGATTCGACATCCGACTGCTAACTAAATAGTGCCCAAACGTATCGGTGGCACCAGGCGGATCGTCGGCACGGTCGGAAATTTACAGTCCATGTGCGATGAAAGTTATTCTGCAATTAGTTTTAACTGTAATACCGAGCTTTATCCGGACCGAAGCCATCGTTGGCGACGATGGTTCATCGAAGAGAGTCGAAGCGGCTAGCAGCAGAAGGCATCGCTTGTCCAGTTACGAGCGGGATTTAGTGGTAAAATTTGCAAATGTGGATTAGATTTAAATCTTCGAGTTATTGCTTCTAATGTGAATGTAGCACCGAACAGAACATAGTTCCGGAAAATTTATAACAATACACACCTTTGTAATTGCAAAACGTATCTGGCAGATAGACGCAATAGAAGCTGCAGACTACCCGGCCGAGATCCACGTGGTCACAACCAAGGATGGCTACATTCTCAAATTGCATCGCATTCCGGATCCGGCTCTTCAAAAGGACGCAGACTATTCGGCAGAACAATTGGCCCCGTCTTCGTCGAACAACCAGCTGGACGGTTTCCGAGGTGTGGTTCTGCTAATGCATGGACTATTTTCGACGGCGGCTGATTTCGTTGTCACTGGTCCGGAAAGTGGTCTTGCCTTTGTGCTGGCCGACGCCGGGTACGACGTGTGGATGGGCAATGCACGTGGCACGCGCTTTTCACGAAAGAACCTAAACCTCAGCCCGAAGGATGCTGCTTTCTGGGACTTCAGGTACGTGTCGCCGTCGGTGATGATGGCAAGGGCTGATTTTACAAATTTCCCAGAGTTGAGGGAAATTCACGGTAATGATTCATAAAATTGAACCCTGTTTGAAAGGGTCAGTTCCCACAGCCATGTAAAGACATTATTGGCTATTTTCAAAACACAGTTCGATGAAAGAAGCTATCATCTAGCATCCAAAACGATAAACTCGTTAGGAAACGTTTGTGTAGCCGGGTTATTAACGGAAGAGAAAGTCGATGAAGAGAATCGATTGGTCCTTTATTGCATTGTTCGAGTTGAATTGACTTATTAAAGCCAATTCGTTGGCTAAGGTCCAATATGTGCTTTCCCGAGTAACATTGCAAATTTTATCGTCGTTTTATAGCATTCTACAAGTCTAAATCATGGTCTACAGAACCCTTATAAAACAAAAATTGTTACTTGGGTTAGCAGACTAATGGATTGACTAGAAAATTGGAGTAAACCTCGGTTTTCCACTTTGATCATGATCTGTTTTCACCCAAAACCTAAATATCCCCTACATCGAATGAGAAGCTCTGATGGCTTCTAACAGGGAATCGAAACACAGAGAGCAAGCTACAATCTAGACAAATCATTTGCGACGATTGTCATGAAGTCATGACAAACTCTCTGCAACATAGCTTGATCGGAACGGTGGAAGGAGTTAAAATTGTGGATGATGCATTGGCGTGCACAGGGTGGGGCAAGGTGGGGCAATTGCCCCACCTTTTATAAATAAATATATTACCTGAAAATTGCACCACAAAGGTGCATGAAGGCACAAACTTCAAGGAAATTTTTTGGTCAAAAAATTGCACCACATTCCTGGTGTAATTTTTTTTTTTCAAGGTTGTTCATGGAGGGTTAAAAGAAAAGGGTAAATTTAAGGTTGACAAAAATCACCTTCGTGGTAGTAAATCGAAGAAAAAGCTTTTTATTGAATATTTATGGTGTAAAAATATCATCAAGGTGGTGCATGGAGGGACTAATCAAAATGAACATCTCTGGTTCTAAAATTGAATCGTGCTAAAAATTTGGAGGTGCACATTTATCTGAAAATTTCTGGTGGAAAGTTCGCAACACTGTGGTGAATGTAATAGCAAGATTTATTAATTTTTCTGGTGCATAATTTGCATCGTTCTGATGAATGCAAGCTTCATTGAAAATGTATGGTGGAAAATTTGCACTACTCTGGTGCATGAAGAGGCAAAGCCTGAAGGTGCATGGTGAAACAAACTTCACTGACAATTTTTGGTGCACCGTTTTGGTGAATGGAGGAGCATGCTCAATTGAAAATTTCTGGTGCAAAATTTGCATCGCTCTGATTAATGAAATGAACAGAAAATTTCTGATGGAAAACTTGCACTAGTCTGGTAAATGAAGGCACAAGCTTTATTTAAAATTAAGCTAAATTGTAAATTTCTGGTGGAAAATCTGCACCGTTGTGGTGAACAGATAGGCAAGCTTTTCAGATTTTTTTGTTTTTAAATTTGCATTCTTCTGCTAAATAGAGAAACAAGTTTTAATAATAATTTCTGGTGTAACATATGCACCATTCTGATAATTGGAGGAAAGCTGCTTTACTGAAAAAATCCGAAAATAGGGGCAAACTTTATTTGGTGGAAATCCTACAACATTCTGATGATAGGAGAAGCCAGCTATATTGAAAATGTTTGGTGGAAAATGGAAAAAGGAAATCTGCACCAATTAGAAGATTGGAGAAGCAATTTTTATTGAACATTAACGGTGGAAAATTTGCATCGTTCTGCTCAATTGAAATTTTCTGGTGTAAAATTTTCTGGTGGCAAGTTTGTATTGAAAATTTCTGGTGTAAGATTTGCAACATTCTTCTGCATGGAAGGGCAAGCTGAACTGAAAATTCCTGATGTAAAACAGTTCTGGTGAATGGAAGGGCAAGCTTTATTGAACATTTCTGGTAGAAAAACTACGACGTTTTGGTGGATGGACGGACAACTTAAACTTGACTTCAGAGAAGAACCTCATGGGTATTAAATTCTGAGGATTGTTCCAAAAGAAAAGCTTTCTGGGGATGATTCCATGAAAATTCTGCGAATGATTTTTAGTGAATCTTGCAGATAGTTCCAAGATAATTTCGAAAAGAATACCGAGAGAATCAAATTTTGATTGAAATTACAAAGGTATGTTGAGGAAAATTTCAAGGAAATTCCGAGGATAATTTCAAGCTCATTTTTGGAAGAATTTCTGGAGAATACAGAGGAAATTCTTCTGAAACTTTAGGAGAATTTCTGTTCCAAGGTGTTCTGAGAAAAAAAGGTCTAAAATATTCCGAGAAGAACCTCAAGCACACAGAAAAATCTATTGTCGAAACAAACATATTTGAGGTAAATTTAAACGTAAACTCTGTTTGTTCTGGCCACAAAAATAAAATAGGTTCATTTCAAACGTATTCCATGTTAGAAGTCATGTGATATCGATGTTTAAAATAAAAATAATGCTACGTTTATTTTAAAAATATTCGTGTTGAAAATAAACTTAAATATTTTTGTATGATTTGACAACTATGGGAACAAAAATAAATATTTTTATTTTAAACATGCTGTTCATTTTTAAAACAAACAAACATACTTTTAAATTACTTTAGAAGGTATTTGAATGCACTATAAAACAAAATAATTCGAAAAAATATCTGCAGACTGGTGCATCTAAATTCCAGCCAGTTTTCGGAGTCGATTAAGGGTGGTCTGTAGGTAGTGGCATCCTGGTCCGGGATCAAATAAGGTGCCTCCACGGTATCGGCTTCTTTCTACGGGGAAGGGGGAGGAACCGGAATAGATTCAAAATCAATTTCGGGTTTTCGTTTTTTTTTTCGATGTGATGGGGGAGGGTCAAATGACGATCGGCGAAACGATGGAGTGACGTTGAATTGTGGGGTTTCGCCTCAGGCTCCGCTGGTTTTGTCGAGCTGGAACATTATTTGGATGATGGCCTAGATGGGTGGGTCGTTTTCGGTTGAGTTCCGAGGAATAGCAGGAGCTACATTCTGCCGAATGTAAACAAGAAAAAAAGGTGAAGGCATGACACGCTAAAAATAGTTTACTCAAATCATATATTGTTGAAATAAACATGCTTTTGAATTTAATAAAAAAATACATATTTTTGATGCAAACATGTTTTCAATTTACTTTGAATGATTAATATGTTTATAGAATGAACATTTATATTTTTGATTTAAATGAACAAAATTAGTTTCCGTTAGGATATTGAATTCTTAGGACAGTTCTAAAATATTTCTTGGTAGAATTCAAAGAAAATTCTGCGGATAATTTGTAGTGCATCCTGCAGATAGTTCCAAGATAATTTCAAAAAGAATACCGAGAAAAATTTGGAGTGGGGATTTTACGCAAAATTTAAAGCGAATTCCGAGGATAATCTCAAGCTCATTCCGGGAAAAATTTCTGAAACTCTAAACGAATTTCAGTTTTAAGGTGTTCTGACAAAAAACATGAAGAGTTCTAAATATAATTCCAGTGGACTTCTGAGAAGAATTCCAAAAGAGCTCCGAATCCGAAAAAAAAACCCTTAAGGATATTGAATTCTGAGGACAGTTCCAAAGGATTTCTGGGGAGTATTCCAAGAAAATTCTGCGAATAATTTCTAGTGAATCCTGCAGATAGTTCAAAGATAATTCTGAAAAGAATACCGAGAAAAATTGGATGTTGAGTGAAATTTCAAAGGGATTTTGAGGAAAAATTCAAGGGAGTACCGATAATTTCTAGCTCATTCCGGGAATAATTTCTGGACAGTACTGAGGAAATTCTTCTGAAACTCTAAGGGAATTTCAGTTCCGATGTGTTCTGAGTAAAAGTCAAGAAGAGTTCTAAAAATAATTCCAGATGACTTGTGAGAAGAATTTCAAAAGAGCTAATTGAGTTCTAAAAATTTCGAAAAGAACTTCAAGGTATTCTGAGGATGGACTTTTTCGCAACTCTACAAAGGTTGAAGGCCGGTGCCAGTGGTGTAGTGGTAAGCGTGACTGCTTTCTAATACCACAATGGGTCTGGGTTCAATCCCAGCCGAGGTCGGTGGGATTTTTCTGAGGCATAAAAATCTCTGGTCACGTCTTCCTTCGGAAGGGAAGTAAAGCCGTTGGTCCCGGCCCTTGTGTTGTTGAATGGGTGCGATATCCTACGCAGGTGTGGAAGCTGCCTTCCTGCACATTCGATTGCCGTCAATGGATGGCAATCGATGTCCGTCGGTGATTGGCACTAGATTGCGGAACAGAGACCGACGTTAAATAAAGGACAGAAGAAGACAAAGGTTGAAGATGCTTTTGGATTCGCTAATTGAAAAGTGGGTATAAGTCTGCTATTTATTAATTTTATCTAGACGAATGTGTCATTGGGACGGTACTAATGGATATTTTTGGTCGCTATTGAAAATTTAGTCGATTGCTGAATTTATCTATGGACCCAAAATTGGGGCCATTTAGATCGACATTACATCCATTTCCCGTATATTGATAATGATCGGCCGAAGGAAACATTCGTGGGTGTGGAAAACAGACGCGGCGACCATCTTCAATACCATTGCTGAGGTCCTGACAGCGATGCAGATTTCTTGGGAGCAGGTGATGGTAGTATCTTTTGACGGTGCCAGCACAATGGCTGGCAGAACTGCTAGAGTACAAGCCAAGTGCAAGGACAAAAACAACCATATACTTTTATGAAGAGCTTTGAGTGTGTTGGTTTATTTCCTTTTAATTCCGTTATAATTGCTTATCTTTTGACAGATACGCGTATTCCATCTCCTTCTTGAAGACTTCATCGTTGCCAAGTACTCAACACCACCGATCAAGATTGGATTGATCAAGAGCAATATACTGTTTGTTCACTGCTATGCGCACCGTTTGAACCTTGTACTTGTCGAAGCAGTGTGCATGCGAAAGGAGAATTGGTCATTCATGTCGGTTTGTCGGTGCTATCACTACCATCTGACGTGACTTCAGC